CAAGCTTTGAGAAGGCTTCTTTCTGTATCTGTTGACTCTCATTTGCCTCCAGTTCATATCATCCTTATGCCATAGTGGCATCTTTTGGGCTGGTACGTTCTGATCCCCTACAATATATTTTACAAATTTGGGACTTTATAATTTTGTTTGTGGTGTTTTTGATGCATGGATTTTAAAAATAATTAACGTGAATAATAATTAAGTAGTCACAGTTAAACTGTTATAAAATCTATCAGTATTTCCTTAGGTAGTTTTTTCACCTTAGTGTTTATCCTTAGGAATTCCAGCTCCACTTCAAAATTGAATAAGTAATGTTTCTTTCCAATGGTTTTTCTTTTTTTTTTTTAAAAAAATGTATTTTTATTGATTTCAGAGAGGAAAGAAGGAGAGAAAGATAGAAACATCAATGATGTGAGAGAATCATTGATCAGCTGCCTTCTGCATGCCCCCGACTGGGAATCGAGCATGTGTCCTGACCAGGAATCAAACCATGACCACCTGATTCATAGGTTGATGCTCAACTACCGGGCTATATTCTTTTTCTTTTGTTCTCTGTTTTTACAATTTAGTTTATCATAGTATTCATAATGGCTGAAAATAAGGTTGTTTTTCTTATCTCCCATTTATTTTCCATCTTCATTAGACATTTCATTAGTTTTCTTGATGAATATTTCTCTACTCTGGCAAGTCAAGCCATTAGATTATTGCTTTAAAAGTCGTAAGTTTTATTTACTTTAGCGCATCCTTAAAAATACATGGGTAAAGAAAAATCTACCAGATTTTCTGTAACCTCTGCCTTTTAAATTTTGTTTTAATGGAACATGTGCAACTAAATAGGAGAACACCTTTAGGGTTAATTTTCTCACTATGCAGTCAGTCTTGGCTCACAAGCCTCATGTGGCATCACCATAGACATCCCTGGTCTTCAAACAATGGCAAAGAAAGCAAGCCTATGATTATGAAATGGGGCTGAGACTTTAACGATTTTACGATCTTGTTAGAACTGTTGATGAAATGTTAACGTGCCTAATTAGAGGACTATTTTCATTGTTCTGCAGGGAATGGATTAGAGGAAGGCCGGAGTTAATGCATGGAGGCTCTGGTATTAGTTCAGGAAGGGAGGATGGCGACATCCAGTTCTGCAAACCCCATCCCAAGGAAATTTAATCAGGGAGTAGGATTCAATTTGTAGATAACAGACACCACACTAGGCATTGAAGGAGACAGGGATCGAACACAGGGAAATCGTACTCAGTACATGAAGGAGCAGCTGAAGGTGGGGCCTCTGGAAGGCCTCTTAGGACAGCTCCTTGGACTGGCCTGCCTGGGAAACTGAGTCACAGTCAGGAGGCTGGGGACCCGGGGACCACGGTCATCCACACCAAGTCCTCCTGCCAGATCTGAACAGCAGCATGGATGTCCCACTTATTCCTTGCTTCACACGCTTCCTAATTCAAGTCATCCCAAAAATTAGAACTAGGCTGTGCACTGGAAGTTATTTTGGGTCATGCAGCTGATTGGCAGAACCTACACCGTATTTAAAACCTTAGCTGTCAGGGAGTCTGGAAGTGGTTGTTTGTTTGTTTTTAGCCTCCCAGCCCCATGCCTGGAGAAAGGTGAGTGAACCCCCTACCATTCCCCTGAAGCAGGCTGTCCTGGTGCAGGAGTGTGTGAAAGGGAGAGTCTCTGCCAGCGGTGACTGAGAGTTGGGGGGGAGGGGAGGGGATGAGAAGAGAGAGGAGATGGTAATGTCAGAGACCAAACTGGTTGCATTGAGTCCTGGTTTTGCATATTTTAGATGTTTTAACATCCCTTCGTCTTTGCTTAGTGAAATGATCAATTGCCATAGTGGAGCAAACAAATCTCGGGAGCAAGGTCATCTCAAAGCTTCCTCATACTTCTGAGATTCCTTTGAAGATAATATGTTTAAGTATATTTTCTTTTCTCCGTACATTTTTGTAACTACAGAAGTAGAAGTCAAAGAGGAGATGTTGTCTCAAAGGTGCCACCAGCCTCCTTCCAGGCTGTGGAATGTGCCTGGGGTGGCCCTGCAGGCTTTAAGGGTGTTGGGATGGGCAGAGCCCCAGGCATGAAGAACCTCACCTTGGGGAACCTGCTGGGCCTGCAGTGAGTTTGCTTGTTGACTCAGATATGCCGCCTACTTCTGTGCCTGACTGAGGGGTTAATGCACCTATCACGTGCCTGGTCCTGGATTCCCGACCCTCCCCCAGACCTAGAGCAGGTGCCTGAGAACTCCTCTAGCAAGGCTTTCCCTAGCAGCTGTGTAAGTGCCTGTCTGTCTCAGTGTTTTCGTGTCCCACTTCAGTGTTGTCCATTGATTAAGGTGCATTGAGGAGGCCGGTGAACCTCTGATTTGGTAGCACCTAAATTGGGTCTTGGCTGCCCACGGCCAATCAGGTAGAGTTATTATTCAGATAGCTGCGTTCACTGCAGTGTTTCCCCCACCTCCCTGGATGCTATTATAAAATCTCTGGCTTCCTGGCATCTCATATAAGCATGATGTGCTTCTTTGTATCTATCCCTTAACCTCAAGTAAACTCATCTGCTGGGTGGAGACCTGAGCCCGTGACTCTCTGCCACAGAGCCAGCAGCTGGTGCCCTCCCTCCTCAGCAGCCATCTGGGACCAGGTGTGCCCCTCTTCTGCCAAGAATGTGCCAGGCGGAGGCACAGGCAGGTGTGGTGTGATTGGGAGATTATGATTAGAGGTGTTGTAGCACCTCCCCTCCCAGGTTAGCCCGCTGTGCTGATAGGTGTAGCTCTTACTCTGAAAGTGGAAGACTTTGTGGGCAGGTTCCTGGGCTGGGCAGCGAGGAGAGAAACCAGTTCAGATGGCCTCAGTGTATAAACCCAACTGGGAAGCAGACTCTACACACACTGGTAGTTAGGATGCTACAACCCACAGTGTAGGCAGAGCCTACGTTCCTAAAGGTGTTGATTATTAAAAATCTGTTTTCTCCTAGAAATAATATATACATGAATGTTGGTTCTCCAGATTTTCCATCAAAAGCCCACTTAACTCATAGTCTATTTTCACAATTCTGCATTCGCAGCACAAAACAGTAACCAGTGCACTGTGCAGATTCACCCAGGGTCCGGCTGCATGCTGCTCCTGAACCCAGCCAGGCCCGCAAAGCTCAGTCTTTGGCTTCAGAGTAGCAGGAAATGGCAGGGCAGGCCGCTGGCGATCAGACCTGGGCAGGCGGCAGAATCACCTGGAGGGCTACCACTTACTTCACTCTGAAAGTTCTCACTCTGGGGCCCGGGGTGGGGCTCAAGAATTCGCATCTCTGTCACATTCCCAGGTGGTGCTGATGCTGCTGGTCTCACCACCTTTGAGGACCACTGGGAGAGATGTGGGAGGAAGTTACCCACCTAAAGAAGTCCTGTATTTGAATTCCTAATGACGAGATTCTGTGTGCCCAGCAGTGCCCCACTCCCCAGTTATCCACTATCAACGAGGCTCTTGGTCCGCCTGTCAGTCTGGGCCCACCATTCCCTTTCTTCCTGAGCCTGGTGTTGACCATCGCTCTGGAAGCCGAAGGGTAGAGGAGTTAGTCACTCTCCCAAGTTCTCTGGAGGGTCGGCCATGCCTTGGGGACATCAGTGAGCAAGTGTGTGTCCCAAAGAGATCAGGTACCCGTGACAGGCGCCCGCCCTCCGGCTCTGCCTGGGCCAGGTGCCTTCCTCCGCAGAGTCTGATGCCGAAGTTCAGCTTTTCCCGAAGCCCCTTGAAGCCAAGACCCACAGCGGAGGACTCCTGGGGGCTCCATCAGGTTTTACAGAAATTGACCTGAGCTTACCATGCCCTTTAAGAACCCCCTACATTATACTCTGGGTCTCAAGACAGATAGACAAGGGGGAGATATTGAAGAAGGCAGAGCGGAGATCAGATCTCAGCCCAGCCTTCCACGCGGCCCGTGCCACCCCCACAAATCCTGGTTTTGCTTCCAGAACTCCCTCTGTTCCGACAGTCCCCACTGCCTCACCCATCCTGCACCTCTCCAGCTTCCTGCTTCACTGCCCCTCTCCACTGACCTGGGTGACTAATGCTTCCCAGGGCTGGAAGCTTTAGCCACTTCTTCCCACAAGACGGAGGGCGTCAGTGTCACTGCGGGGTGACACGGGTGGTGCCACCAGCAGAGACTCCCCATTTGCCCCTTGAGCCCCACACAGATGGCTGTGGATCCAGGGCTGTGTTCTCACAGGTGCTCCCCTGGGATACACACCACTTCCAGGGAATAAACTTGGGCTTCTCTCCTGTGGCTATGAAAGGAGAAAAGAAAAATGGGAGGATTATTTTGTTTGTTTATTAAATAATAACACATAGTTTCAAAAATAGTCTAAATGTTGCACTTACTGATTGATCAGCTTTCCCTCCAGGTGCAGCAGATAGCTTTAGAGTGGAATATGGGAAAACATGGGATGTTTACAAGCAAAATAATAGGAATGCTTAAAGTTGATATTCCAACACCTGCTATGAGCCCTCTTTATTTTTGACTACTTATGAAGTTTGTGAAGTTTGGGGGGATAAAAACACAAAAATTGCTTTTAATTTTCTCCTGTCATTATGATGCCTGGTGTAAAAAGTTGGCAGGGCCTTCCACCTGCTGGGCCCTGTGACATTCACAGGTGCTGGTGGCCAGGAACACGGCCTCCTCGGCTGCTCCCTGCCTTCGAGTGACCTGCCCCAGGTGCCGGGAACAGCAGGAACGCACATGCCCAGGTTTCACGGGGGTACTTCCTACAGACCTTCATAACCTGCCTCAGACTGAAACGTTACACTGCCTGCTGTGGGCAAATTATATTTCTTGTTGTTGGATTTACAAAAACACTGAGGGGCCTCCTAATGGTATACGTGACGTGGCGCTGTAAGTGGCGTCACGGCCGTCACCACAGTTCTGTGTTGCCCTTGTGATTGACTAGCACTGGCATCTGTGTGTGCTTCTCTCTGATCTGTTTTTTATTTGCCCCTCTCTAGTGGGATCTTGTGTGTGATAATGCCTGGAAGGTCCATATCGCTAAGTTCTCCTTACTGGTTGGATTAATCTTTGGCTACCTAATAACTGGATGCATTGCTGACTGGTGAGTACCAACGTGCCCACACGTAAACCTTGGGAAGCCACTGCAAGACTTTGCAGGCTAAAGAGGAGTGGTCAGTGTTAGATGCTGGTACTGTCTTTTCTCTGCCCCAGTGTTAGTGCCGGGACAGGCGCTGAAGCCCTCACCTGGAGAATTCAGAATGAAAAGAATTGACCAGTGCCCATAACAGACCCTTGTGAAGTGAGAATTTAAATTCACTTTAATTTAAATTAAAGAATTTAAATTCTTTAGCTGCAAGAATCTAGCAAAACCAGCCAGCAGCCTGCAGCCCTCTCTCCTACTGACAGTCAGGTTTAGACAGGAAGAGATGGAGGAGTTCGGCTCAGAGCTTTCTGGGTTGAGCCCCGATGGCTTGGATGTATAAGACGCATCAAAAAATGGGGAGAGGAGGACCTAGTGAACTTAACAGGTCGCACCTCAAAATGTCCCACAGGTTGTAGAGAGGGACAGCTCCTGAAGTTGGCTTGGCCAGCAGATGCCTCTGTGGGGTCCATGGGGAACTGGGCCTGGAGAAGCGGCAGCATTTGGATAACAGATGGGCATCGCAGGCAGAGGCGGGGCAGTGACCAGGTGAGAATGAATATGCTTTACCTGGGTGGGTGAGGAGGTCTAAGGGGTGGAGCAGAGTGCATGGTTTAATGAAGTGATGAGGTTGGTGAGGAGGGCAGGGAGGTGGTATTAGCGATGGGAATGATAATAATAATAGCAACAGTGTTGGCAACTGAGAGGTACTGACTGATGACTGTTGCTGGGCACGGTGCTAAGTATTTCCACATGTGAAAATATTCCATCTTCACAGCACCCTGTTTGGAAGGTACTGTTATCACCTCTGTCTTAGAGTGGGAAAACAGAAGTGCAGACGTTTAAGTAAAATCCCCCAGTGCACTCAGCTTTCAAGTTGGAGAGGCAGGATGTGGGGCTAAGTCCCACGGCTCAGAGCCTGCCTTTTCTCAAGGGTGCTGCCACTGTATCTCAGGCCTCCTGCGGTCACAAGGGCAGCAGCCGCAGTGACATGTCGGAGTGGGGAGGCAGCTGCCCAGTGTTGACAGGGTTTCAAGTAATGGGACTGCTCAGGGAGAGAGGCATGGGCTAGCTGTTCCCCTCACCGTTCCTTTATCTATCAAGGAATTTGTATGTGTGTGTGTGTGTGTGTGTGTGTGTGTGTGTGAATAAGGTCATCTTGGACCCAGTAACATAAGAACGATATAGAGCAAATCCCTTATGCCTGCACCTCCCCCTGGAGCCCTTTGGGCGGGGTTAGCTGAGAAAGCTGGCTCAGCAGGAGCCGGGGCACAGAGCAGTGCCTGGAAACTCGAGGAGTTTTGATACCACTTTCAAGTTCTGGGCATTTCTTTCTAAAAGCTAGCATCTATTTGAGAGTTCCTGGCATTAACATGTGTGATTGCCTGTGTGTTCAGAATTTGCTTAATCATGATTTGTAAATGTTTCTTAAGGACACGTTCCCCGGGGACAGTAACAAAGAAGCTGTGAGTGAAGAAGAGGCGTCTGGAAAGCTGTGCAAGGCCCCTGGGGGCTGGCAGGGTGGGGCAAGCACAGGGGGTTTTTTCTAACCAAATCTTGAGCTTAAAGGTGTTCAGAGTAAACTGGATGGATCTAAAAGATACTCCAGTGTTTTAACCACAAGGACTTGTATTTCCCAGATCGGCATTAAAATAGGTTAGGAAGATACACTAATATAATTCACATCACTTGTTTCTAAAGAAACGCAGACTGGACTTGGGTTCTAGTTTTCTTGTTCAGTCAATTTATAGGTAAAGCAGATATGGGCCTGTATTAATATCAGTCTGCAACGGGGTTTAAATTACTTAGGGGTGGTTTTGTGAATTCTTACTTTTTACAAGCTCAGGCTATTTGACCTCCCTGATCACATGCTAGGACTGGGGACAAAAAGCAGAAGAGTTTGGGTCCTCCTTCAGGAGTAAAAACCAGTGGATCTTGTAGACTCACTTCTCTGCAGTCCCTTTGTCGAGGCCTGGAGGTGGGTGGGGTGCCGTGGGTGATGGAGAGACAGGGAGTGCTCTGTGCTGTGGCTCTTTGAGCATTTGAGTGGGCCTCGGTTGCACTTGGAAAGTTTGGTGTTTTCCACCCTTAGCTTTTATTTATGGCTCTGTGCTCCCTGCGAGCCTTGCTGAAAAGGAAACGGACACGTTTAGAGGGAACTACAGATCCACAGCTGCTGGCCCAGTCACGGCATGTGAGGAAGTTGTCCGAGCTGGGGTGAGCTCTCTAAGACTGTAGTCAGCACATAAAATGTCAAGTGGTACACTTTGTCCTTTAAAAAGTTACCGTTCTCCCCACATGTTTTATTTGGGGACACACATCACATGTTTTAGGATGTGCTAGTTTAGATGTTCGAGGAGACATTCCTGACCATGGCGCTGCCAGATGACACCCCTCCCCCCACAGCTGGTTCTTTTGCTAGACATTCGCATTTCTCACCCCAGGAGCCCTTACCCCTTGCCCTCTAGCTCCTGGCTCAGCCCTGGCAGAGCCCCTTTGCCAGGAAAGGTAACATATTCACAGGCTCCAGTGTTTAGGGTGTGGACATCCTGGGGGGCCATTATTCTGCTCACCATGGAGCCTCGTTGATAAAGCCCTCTGTCTCTCTGCATTACAGATCTAGGGCTGTGGTTTTATCCCTCATCCCTCATGGGGTTCTGACGGGGAAGGCAGTCCACACTAAAACTCCAGGGGTTCTGACTTACACTTGTTGACCGTTTGCATGATCACTTGCACTTACTTATCCCTGACAACAAGCCCATTAGGTTGGCACTGACCAGCTGTTCCTAAGGAAACAGGAGGCTAGTTCGGACAAGGGTGGTCTTTCTCGTGACCATGTATGTAGTTTATAAGTCGTGGGCCTGGATAAAAGACCAAGGGCTCTGACTTTGAAGATCATATTTGCCCCACAGTTCCTAATAGTAATTTTATTCACTGACTTTAGCAATCATTTCAAAGGGAGAGATTTAAATAGTTTATACAAGTGAAAAAAAAGATCGAGGATCTCTTCTAAAGTATCAGAACATTGTAATTGATCTCATAGCTCCGCCTCATTTCACTAAACTGAAGGTAACTATGGGGAATGTTAGAAGCCTAAAAAATTCTGAATGAAATTGGTCCTATAGCACCCCTCCCCCCAAGTTTTCTGGAAATTATATTCATCCCCTTCATAGAGCAAAGCCATGTGTTACTGAGCATTGCTGTTGCTTTAACAGCTTTATTGAGAGATAATTTACATTTTGCATATCATAAAGCTCACCCATTTTAAGTGCACAATCCAGTGAGTTTTCATGTATTTATAGAATCACACAATCACCACCACACTAAAACATTTCCACCACCTTAAAAGGGAGTGTCGTGCCCATCTACATTCATTCCTCATTCTCACCCCCAGCCCTAGGCAACCACGAATCTACTGTTTCTATTTGCCTTTTCTGGGCATTCTACTTTTATGTAGATGCCTTGTTATAAGCACGTATAGGCTAAGTCAAGGCATTAGTTACTCTTCAGGTGTTTGGGCTGCCAGGCTTGGTTTTCTTCCTTTGACAAACAGAATTTCTCTCCAGTTTCTTTGTGAGCTATTCTTCTAGTACAAGCTTGGTTGGGTTATATTAATTTGTATGATTTTTTTCTCCCTAGTAAATTGATGAAGGAAAACCTGGAAGGCTAGGAAGAGAGGGGTGAAGAACTAGTTACCTTCCATTCTCATAGACTCCCTAACCCCCCTGTGGACCTCTCAGCCACTCCTTAGGAGCACATCACACCCTAGTAGTAGCCGATCTTGCCCAGCTCTATAATCTGCCAGTGTAGTTTTTTTCTGAGACACAGTGGCTTGGGCTCCTTCCACCCGCTGCTGCCCGGTGGGCTTCACTTTCAGGTTCACACCCATTATTTAAAGTTGAACTATCTTAGTTTAGTCTAAGTTTAGTTTTAAAACGACTTCTCATCATACAGTTGAAACACACTGGCAGCTGTCTTGGCCCCAGCTCTGGTAGGCTGTGTGAGGTCAGGCGCCTGACTAGTTACCAGCCCTGACTAAGGAGTTGAAGCTACTTCACTCAGTGTCTCTGTTGACTTTGGTGCCAGTTCCAAAGGTCAGTGATTTCTCAGGACATTTTATGATGGGTGTGTCAAGGTTTACATTTGGGGAGTTGTTATTGATTTTGTTACTCTTGCCTTGAATTATCCTCCTATATACTCAAAAATAGACTTACCAACAGGAATTGGGTTCCTGTTTCAGTTCTATTATGCAGTAGCTGTTTAATCTAGGCCCCTTTTTCTGCACAATGAGGCGGTCAAGCTACATTTCCCCGAAGGGCCTCTCTGTCCCTAGATATGCCACAGTGGGTCTGGACAGTAGGAAGACTTTTAGTCCAGTACTCATTCAGCATCTATTGAGCACCTACTGGATGCTGGGTTTTCAAGGCTGGCACCACGGTCCTGTGTAATGATGATTCCTAATGTTTCCTCTCTGTGCACAGGGTCGGCCGGCGGCCTGTGCTGCTCTGTTCCATCATCTTCATTCTGATCTTTGGCCTGACCGTGGCCCTGTCCGTGAATGTGACGATGTTCAGCACACTCAGGTTCTTCGAAGGATTCTGCCTGGCTGGAATAATCCTCACCTTGTATGCATTACGTAAGTAGGAGTCTTCCCAACCCATCTTGAAGAAATTGGCGGAAGTGTTTATGGCACCTATGTGGTTCTGGGAAGGGGCTCTGTGCTGGTGGTTTGGGATGGCAGTCTTTTGGAAGTGCAAACTTGAATGGCCTCAGCTGCTGTGAAGACAGTTTCCCAGGTAATGTCATCCAACACCCAGTCTATCCTGGTCTCTGGCGTGGGCTCAGGACACATCAAACGATATAAGGGCTATGTAACTGCTTAGAGAAGCAGGGATCAGCCCACAGCTGGTGTGGAGGGGCTTTTGCTTTCTTCCAGAATTTTCTGTGTTAATGTTCTGTGCACTTTCAAGTACAGCACATCATTAGGCATCCCTATGCTTGGTTCCAGAAAAACATACCCTCCACTGCTACCCTTTGTTCTGGGCTCAGTGTTTTCATTGCCTCTGTAAGAGTTTTTCTTCCAGCCCTGGCTGGATAGCTCAGTGGGTTAGAGCATCGTCCCAATACACCATCAGGGCACATACAGGAAGCAACCAATAAATGCATAAATAAGCGGAACAACCAATTAATGTCTCTCTCCCCACTTCTCTCTCTCTCTTTTTTAAAATAATTTTTCTTACTTTTTTTCCCCCCCGTAAGGCTGTGCAGAGTCTGAATTATCCACATTCTCATGTGCCTGGATATGGCTTTAAATGGACTGGACTCAAATCCCATGCATTGGTACTAGAAGAGTAAATGGCAGTATTTGTTAGTATTTGCTCTTTTTAGGGGGAAGAAAATTTTTTCTGCATTAATTCCTCATGTTTGTTGGACATAATAACTCTCCCATCCAATCTGGTTATGTTTTACTTCTTTGAAGTTGGTGTTTTCTAGAATACAGCCACAAACCCCTATGAAGGAGGGAGGTTTTAGGCATGAATGTTTTTACTTATTTTCTAGTTTTTATGCTTTCTAATCACCTGGTGAAAAGAACTGTTAGGAATAATGTAAAATTATTTATATGTTTTGTCTTTTTTCTTTTCCTTTAACAACATGGGTAGGAGTCAGTTATAGATTAAGTAGCATTTTCCAGTGAGGTCAAATAAGAATAGTCCTATTTCTCTTAAGTGACTTGTTAAAACTAGATAACATGCCCTAACCGGTTTGGCTCAGTGGATAGAGCATCGGCCTGCGGACTGAAGGGTCCCGGGTTCG